AAATAATAAATAAAGCCTGTTACTCACAGACGAATTACCTTTAAAACGGTGAATGAATTTTAAAATTGGCCCAGTAGTTTTTGAGTCATTCCAATACATACAAAAATACAAATGTTCCCTCTTTATATTGATACAGCGCTTTAGTATAGAGTAAGCGAAAATTAAACACTGCTCAAGGCACCGACTAGTTTCGGACCCATCGACCTTCAGGGCGTATTAGCTTTTTTAGCTTAGTTAGATACATATTTACTAATCTAACTTAGGGAACTTAGTCTAATATACCCAATATTAGTCCCTTTTCCTTTCTATCCTTTTCTTATAAGGATAGGATGGGAAGGGTTAGTGGATTTCACGGTGGATTAACACATAAAAAGAGGAAATATCCTCTTTTTGAGCGTCTCCTTCTAGTAATTAGTAAACTTAGTAATCTAACTTAGTTTAGTCTATATAAACTTTACCTGTACGGTAACTTTGAGCTGTCGACAGGGTAGGTCAGAGTAGGCCTGCAGCCACTGTCCCGTCCCCTGGGCGCGCGCGCACAGCGCCGTCTCCACCAGGAACAGGTCAGAGATCGCGTCACCGACAGTCTCGTTGGTCATATCTATGTACTGGAGAAGTAGTTCTGCTGATTTACGCTGCTCTATGTCACTGGAATTCAATATACATTTCATTATAATCTTACTAATATTATAAATGTGAAAGTTTAGATGGATGGATGTTTGTTAGAGTTTGTAGCCTAAGCGGCTAAACTTTAACAGTGGTAGAGCCCGCTTTAACATCTTCGCACTGCAGGGCCGGCTCGCCCCAAGCAATACCACGACCACACAGAAAACAGACGTGAAATGGAAGCAATTCCGCGTTTCGTCTGATGAGTGTGGTGCCGGAGGTCTAATTTTAGTCCCTATCATTATCTACTCTTTTCTTAAGAGGAAAGGATGGAAAGGAAAAGTGGATTTGACGGTGGATGAAATGTCCTCTTTATGTGCGTCTCCTACTCCGTCAATTAAAGGTAGGCATTATATTATAAAAAAACGGATCTCGATGAAATTCGGCATAGATGTAGAGGATAGTCTGGAAGAACATATACATACTTTTTTAAATTTCAAGCGTACGGCGTCGCGGGCGAAAGCTAGTATTATAAAGATTTATTTATATTTTTGTATTGAAATAACTCAATAACTACTGGGCCGATTTTAAAAATTCTTTCACCATCTAAAAGCTACGTTATCAGTGAGTAACATAGGCTATATTTTTTAACTTCACGCGTGCGAGGTCGCGAGCAACATCTAGTATTAAATGGACATAATTTTTAGCTAACTTACCCTTCTTCAGCGATTTTTTTTATAGTATTTTTAGCGTTATCACTATATAAAACAGTGCCGTGTCCATTCGCCTCGAAGTAAACCCCGATGTCGTACTGCTGCGCCGCGTGGTGTAAAAACTTCACACCAGTCTTCACACACGTTACTGGGATTTTCTGCAAATATATGAAAATACATATTAACCAATATCTATATATATACTAATCATACTAATATTATAAATGCGAAAGTTTAGATGAATAGATGTTTGTTAGAGTTTGTAGCCTAAACTGCTGAACAGATTTTAATAAAATTTGCCATAGATGTAGAGGATAGTCTGGAAGAACACATAGGCTACTTGCATTTGTTTATTTTAGTTCCGCGCGGACGGAGTTGCGGGCGAAAGCTAGTCTATACTATTATAATAAAGCGTAAACACACACTTCTTTGTTGCCTAAGATGTCAGCAATTATAGGATATTTTTGAATAATTCTTTCTTTAATAAAAGGCCCTACACTTACGTCACGCTCTAGGCTATATATTTCACGCCATTAAACTTAGAGGGTAAATATTTTGGATAAAAACCTCAATGTGCGAAAGAGACCATAAGCTGCTACCAACATCAAGGAAGCAAGGTTTCCATAGTAAGGTAATTGACATATTGACATTTGCAATGACAATTTGACATAGCAAATGTCAAACAGCTAGTTTTATTAGATGTAAAGTCTAGCTGTTCCCGTGCGGCTTCATCCGCATGTAATTATAAAAACTTTATTTTATTGTTAACATTTGTCAAATTAGCAATTGCAAATGTCAAAATGACATAACACAATGGCAAAACATGGCAACCTTGCTTCTTTGATGTTGGCAACTTATGGTCTCTTTCCTACACTAAGATTTTATCCAATTTATTTAACCCCTAAATTAAATGGCGTGAAAATATATAGCCTAAAGCGCGACGTAAGTGTAGGGCTTTTCATTAAAAAGTTAATTATTCAAAAATATGGTGTAATTGCTGACATCTTAGGCAACAAAGAAGTGTGTGTTTACGCTTTATTATAATAGTATAGATAGATAAAATTATATAGTAATTTGACACGGGGATAATTTATTAAAAAGATACTTACAAGTTGTTGTGTGATGTACTGCGTGGAGGCGCCATTAGCGTACGCGGTCTGCACAAGTCCTACCCTTAGTGTAGCTCCACAACCACTTAACAACTCTGAGATGTAACTCGCGAGTAACGTCGCTATACGATCGCCGTCCAGTAAGTGCATATTATCTCTGAAAATGAGAAAATAAAACTTTTTACTTGTATTATAAAGACAAATATTTGGATGGATGGATGGATATTAGAAATTATCTCCATAATGGATTTGAATGAAATTTTTGTAATTTAGCGCGGACGAAGTCGCGGGCATAAGTGGGTTAACGAAAGGTAACAGATACAGTAAATATAAATAAGATATAAAACAAACACTAAAGGCCTGTCCCACTACCGGCTGATAGAGGCTCATATTTAAAATAACGTCACTGTCAAATAATAAACAAAATCCGATATTTCCATTACATATTTTACACGTTCAATCTGACAATTTAAAATTTGGTGGGACAGGCCTAATCTTACTAATCTTACTTCTTACTAATTTTATAAATGCGAAAGTTTAGATGGATGGATGGATGGATGTTTGTTAGCGTTTGTAGCCTAAACGGCTGAACGATCTCCATGAAATTTGGCACAGGTTTAGAGCATAGTCTGGAAGAACACATAGGCTACTTTTTATCCCGGGAATAGTTACGGATCCCGTGAGATTCATTAATTTAGTTTTTTAATGTTTACTCGATCATTCTGCAACGGTTCAACATATCTTATTGAAATTTGGCACAGATATAAAACAAAGTCTGGAGTACACATGGGATAAGCTTCATCCCCGAGGTGTCCGGTTCCCGAGGGATACGTAGCTTTTTGTAATTTATATAGTTCGTATGTTTTATAATACCACGCGGACGAAGTTGCGGGCAACAGCTCGTATTAAATAAAACTCATTACAATACTTTAGAGAAAATCGTATTAAAATCGGTTCAGTCGTATATTCCCGAAAAATGTCAGGTTTTTAAAAATAAGTGATTCTTTATTTTTCTCAGTTTTGTTTATACTGCACGGGAAAACTCGCGGGCAACAGCTAGTTATATAAAATACTAACTTGTCATCTAAATAGTAGTATACAATCCTGTCACCATCACCGTCTAGCGATGCCACTCTTTGCCACGGCTTGTGTTCCACTCCCACTGGGGGCTTCTGTGACACTTTCACATAATCCGCACCACACTGAAAATACAAATAATCAAACTTTAATAAATACGTAAATCAGATATATTCCTTAACCTATCTTATTTAACGTGTAAAGGCTTTTAAAGTAGTTTAAAAATGAATTATTTTGTAACTACCCCCTTTTTCACGTTATTATCTGTGGTTTAGAATACCACACTTTACTTATTAAAAAATAATTTCAATTATTCTTTCACAACAATCATCATCATCACCAGCTCACTATACGTCCCCACCGAGGGGCTCGGAGCCTACCCTAATAAGGGGTGACTAGGCCATAGTCAACTACACTGGCCCACTGCAGGTTGGTTGACTTCACACATATCTTTGAATTTTTTTTCTGATATGTGCAGGTTGTATCACGATTTTTTCCTTCACCATAAGAACATCGGGTAAATTATGTACATATGAAAATTCGAGAAATCTAAAATGACATTGGTACAGCGGGATTCGAACCCAAGACCTGTAGATTACAAGTCAAGTGCTCAAACCACTGAGCTATCGACGCTCCAACAATAGTTAATGTAATTTAAACAATATCACAGAAAACAAACATCATGAATTTTCTGCAGGACATTCGATTTTCGACTTCAAAAAGGAGGTTTTCAACACGATTGTTTTTTTCTATATATTTTTCAACCATTACTCATTAATTATTATAATTATTACTGATTCAATCAAATACATAAAAATGCCATACATTAATAAACAAATACGTACATTTAAATTCAATTTCCCTCCGTTCCCTCCTAAATTAAACAGCACGAGATCCAATTCATCTCCTAGACTCTTCTTTATAATATTCAATTTCTTTCCGCCGACTCCATTTGCTCCATCCACATACAAAGTTGTTGTATATTCTCCTCTTACTGGTAACTTCTGACGTATATTCTTAAACGCTCCCACTATCTTCTCGTAATAACCTGTAATATCACAATTGGCAATTATTTTACTGTTGGCAATAATTTTACTATTGGCAATTATTTTACTGTTGGCAATAATTTTACTATTGGCAATTATTTTACTATTGCCAATCTTACTAATATTATAAATGCAAAAGTTTGGATGAATGTTAGAGTTTGTAGCCTAAACGGCAAAACAGATCTTGATAAAACATGGCATGTAGAGGATAGTCTGGAAGAACACATAGTCTAGTTTCTTTTGTTTTTTCTACAAGGACGGAGTCGTGGGCAAAAAGCTAGTTTTTGATTAGTTAGTAGTTATAGTTTTTCATTAGATAAATTACCTTTCTAACGGTGAAACAATTTTTAAATTGGCCTAGTAGTTTTTGAGTTATTACAATACATACAAAAATACAAATCTTTCCTCTGTATAATATTAGTATAGCTTGGCATATATTATTATTGGCAATACATTTAAACGTAATTAAAAAATAACTCGTAAATTTTTCTCTTTTGCTATTCTTAACATGGTATCTGTTATTGCTATCTCTGTCATTCGGTTTGTATAAGTAGAGATAGGTGTATACCTTCTTCAGTGGGTGTTCCGTATGTGTTGTCGTTGCGACACCTGACGCAGTAGTGCAGTATGGGCGTGGTGACGATACCGAACTCCTTGGGCGTGCCCTTGAGAGCAATGACGCCGTGCACCGCGGCCGCAGCCAGGCGCGGACTTGTGTATCTTTTACAATACTCTTATTAAAGCTTACTATATCATTATACGTTTAATGAGAGTGAAATAATAAAGCATTTATCTTACTAATAATATAAATACGAAAGTTTAGATGGATGTTTGTTACAGTTTGTAGCCTAAATTGCTGAACGGATCTCGATAAAATTTGCCATAGATGTAGAGGATAGTCTGGAAGAACACATAGACTACTTACTTTTGTTTTCTAAAATACTACGCTTGAACATTTTGAGACGAACAAAAAACAATGCAGCTTATAAATGATTTTTTTTTATGAAAAAAGTCGGTATTAGACGGCTAGTTAATATTATCCCTTTTTTGCACTCACAGCTATCTATTTAGGTATTTATAGGAAGACGGAGCCTGTTTCGTAATGAACAAGGCAATTTTACCTGAAGTGGGTCACTGCGGAGTGCCGCGATTGTGCATAGAAGCATCACTCACCTGGTGTCCATCCCAATGAAGACGGACGCTTTGAGCGCCATATCCGCGTTCACTTCCTTTATTATCTCCGCCGTTGTCGACTCTAAGTCATTGTCACTGCAACCAACAATACAACACAAATATTATCTGTACTAAAATAATAAAACGCAAACGCAGTTTGTTATTAGAGAAGGTAAGGAGTAAAAGGTTAGCATGAAATGAAATATTATGTAATGACAACGATTGGCCATTTCAATACAATAAATTACGTGGTTTTGAGGTTTACAATAGATAGATTTTTTTATATAATATAAGGTGGCAAACGATCAAGCGGCCACCTGAATCCACCGAAATGAAAAGCGACCGCTGCCCATTAACAACAAACCCTTAATTGACGGGGGAGGAGACCCACATAAAAAGGACATTTCCCCTTCACATGCGTCTCCTCCACCGTCAAATCCACTTTTCCTTTCCATCCTTTCCTCTTAAAAAAAGGGCAGAAAGGGAAAGGGACTAAAATTAGACCTCCGGCACCACACTCATCAGACGAAACGCGGAATTGCTTTCACTTCACTCCTGTTTTCTGTGTGGTCGTGGTATTGCTGGGGGCGAGCCGGCCCTGCAGTGCGAAGATGTTAAAGCGGGCTCTACCACTGTTGAAAGCGTTAGTATGATTATGTGAAAAATGTTTCAAGTGAGGTGCCATCTTTATTTGCCAACATTCTCTATAGATTTTATATCTCTTTGGTTGCACGCATCATTTCGTACATAAACGGAGTTTGTATAGCAATATACCTGACATTAGCGAGTCTCGTGGCGATCTCCTCCCAGCTCTGTTCCAACATTTCACCATCAGGGTCGATCAGTTTAACACCGTTGTCTGGTTCCAGATTATGTGAGGCCGTTACCATAATGCCGATCGTACGACCTGAAACAGGGATAAATTGCATGAATTTATTTAATTATAACTAATCATCACCATTACGTCCCGACCGAGAGACTCAGAGCCTACTCCAAAGTTACGGTGACTAGACTATAGTCAACGACGCTGCACTACTGGTTGATTTCATAATATCTTTGAATTTCTTCGCCCATATGTGTATCACGATGTTTTCCTTCTCCGTGAGAACATCAGGTAAATTATGTACATACTAGCTGTTCCCATACGACTTCATCCGCATAAAATTATAAATAATAATTTTATTGTTCACATTTGTCAAGTTGATTGCATTTTGACAATTGCAAATGTCAAAATGACATGACATGATGTCAAACCATGGCAACCTTGCTGCCTAGATGTCGGCAACAACTTATGGTCTCTTTCCCACATTAGGGTTTTTATCCAAAATATTTACCCTTTAAGTTTAATGAAGTGAAAATATGTAGCCTAAAGCGTGACGTAACTGTAGGGCTTTTTATTAAAAAATGAGTTATTCGAAAAAATGCTGTGATTGTTGATATCTTAGGCAACAAAGAAGTGTGTGTTTACGTGTTTTATGTGTGTGTGTTTAGTATAGATGAAAATTAAAAATATCGAAAATCACATTGCTTATTGGATTCGAACCCAAAATCACAAGTCGAGTGCCTAAACGACTGAGCCATCTACGCTCTATTTTAACTATGTTGTCCCAAATACCAACGACAAATAACGATATCCTTTGACAAAAGATACAAATTGAAGCCAACCTGGTCGTTGGCGCAGTGCCAATTGCATTGCGGTAAAATTGCTCTAGTCTGTTTCAAAGCAGTTACGTTATTCTATTTATTGAAAACTAAAACATCCAAAGTAACAAGAACAAGACCCAGTCTAAAATGGTAATTAAAGTTAAAGCATTGTTAAATAGAATTAAGTTGAAGCGCCATCTATATATACTATTACAATAAAGAGTAAACACACACTTCTTTGTTGCCTAATATGTCAGCAATTACAGCATATTTTTGAATTATTTTTTTAATAAAAGCCCTACACTTACGTCACGCTTTAGGCTATACATTTTCACGCCATTAAACTTAGAGGGTTAATATTTTGGATAAAAACCCTAATGTGGGAAAGAGGCCACAAGTTGCTGCCAACATGAAGGAAGCAAGGTTGCCATGGTTTGTAATCGTCATGTTTTTTTGACATTTGCAATTGATAATGTGACACATGTAAACAAGAAAATTAAATTTTCATTATTTTATTCGGATGAAGTCGCACGGGAGCAGCTAGTTATAATTATTAAAGCGGCTGATTTTAGTTTTTTATTTACTCACTATATTTGACTCAGCAAAAATTAAAATCTCTACGCTAATCTTTTATTTTAAATATTAATTCTGCAGAAAAACATAACTAACGATGTTTCTTTGGATAATCATACAAAATTATAAATGCGGATTTAGATGTAATTTGGTATAGACGGAGAGGACAGTCTGGAAGAACACATAGAGTATTCACTTTTGTTTTTTTTTTAATTCCACCTAGACGGAGTGTCGGGCGAAAGCTATTGTGAACCATAAAATTAGTAAATTATATCAACAAAACTGATATGAATCACAAATCAACGTAAAGCTTGTAACACACCTTCAGTTAAAACTGTATTCTGTCTCAAAATCCGAAAGTGTATAACTGTCTTAACCATACAAATCGATCACCACTTCTAAACCAATAATGTTTATAAACTATCCTTTTTGAAGTCAAAACGCCGGTAATAAATCTTCCTTTCCACTCTTAAATGTACTGGGAATTAACCTTTTCAAAGACTACAAAGGGAACTCGTTTGTTTTCCATGAATCTGTAACCACCTAAGCACCCCTGGCTTCCATTTAAGTACGGATACGCTTTATACTTCTTGAAAACTCCGAGACCTACTTGGCAGTATTTACTCGCTGTATAACAGAGCATTTCAAATGGATTATGTAAACTTTTATATCGGCGAAGAAATTCAAATAAGTGAAGTCAACCAACCTGCAGTGGGCCAGGGTGGTTGACTATGGCCTAGTCACCCCTTATTAGGATAGGCTTCGAGCCCCTCGGTGGGGACGTATAGTGAGCTGGTGATGATGATGATGATGCAACTGTTATACAATGAAAGACCAAAATTACGGCCTTATAAAAGTAAAATTGTTAAATAGATTTGTTGTCATTTCGCATTTCAATTCACATGTGAGTACATCTTTTCATATTGAGTTATACAGCGTGTTCCAAATATATCGCGGTCCGCAATGCGACTCGCGCCCGTACCGGAGACGGCCGATCTCAGGTACGCTTGCACGCTCCGACAAATCAACAAGTTGAAACACTTTGGGAACAATCCTAGTTATAAAACGGAAACTAGCGCTTTGCCTCTTAAGTCAAAAGCAAGTTAAATCATTTCAAATAAAACTGAGGACTTCTATGGAAGGGCCATATGAAAAACTAGATTTCGTCTGCGACTGGTCTGTGTATGTTTAAAAAAAAGCCTAGTAGCCTATGTGTCTTTCCAGACTATGTTTTACATCTGTACCGAATACGATCGAGATCTGTTCATCAGTGTAGGCTACAAACACACATCCACCCATCTAAACTTTTGCATTTATATAAGTAAGATATGCATAACAGAAATGCAGAGCAAAGAAAATATATCTATACTTCTATACAAACATTAAAAAGCGTAAACACACAACTTAGCTATGTAGGGTTTCAGCAATCACAGCACATTTTTGAATAATTATTTCTTAATAAAAAGCCCTACACTTATGACACGCTTTAAGCTACATATTTTCACGCTAATAATCCTAGATGGTAAATATATTAGAAAAAGACCACGTGGGAAAGGTACCATAAACTACAAGCCGCCAACATTAAGGAAGCAAGGTTATTATGGTAACGGTAATTTTGACATGCAATTGAGAACTTGATAAATCTAAACAATAAAATTAAGTTTTTATAATTTTATGCGGATGAAGCCGTACGGGAACAGCTAGTATATTATACAGAGCTATGTAAAATAGGTCACCTTGTGTGTGAACTAAACTATTATAAGATAATAAACCTACCGACCTGACCTAGTAAAGTGCAGCCACAAACAGAAATCTATTACACAATAAAGCATTTCATATCGCAATAAACATTTCCATGTCACTGCGGTTATGCACTAGTTGTGACCCGCAGTTTTATGCGCTATTCAATTTAATTTAAACGTAATAATCATCTGAAGTAACCTGACCTATCAAATCTATACTTCATACTATTATAATAAAGCGTAAACACACACTTCTTTTTTGCCTAAAATGTCGGCAATAACAGGATATTTTTGAATAACTCTTTTTTTAGTAAAAAATCCTAGACTCACATCATGCTTTAGGCTATATATTTTCACGCCATTAAACTTAGGGGGTAAATATTTTGGATAAAAACCCTAATGTGGGAAAGAGACCATAAGTTGCTGCCACCATCAAGGAAGCAAAGTTGTCAGTTGTCATGTCATGTCATTTTGACATTTGTAATTTGACAAATGTAAACAATATTTTTTTTTTATAATTTCATGCGGATGAAGTCGCACAAGAAGAGCATCAAATACAGAACGATTTTTTCATATTTTAGTTATAGTTCCCGTGATATGTTTTCTTTGTCTCGATGTCTCGCTTTGATTCCTGTGAGCTTATATGGAGGTGAGCACACTATTCAATTTTTAGTTGTGCAACTAAGTTGAATTGGCTGAAAAACAATCGACAATCGCTCAGCAGTTGTGCGATAGATTATTCAGACCTGTGCGCCAGCCCTTCCTGTTATTTCCTATGCAAGTGGCAAGTGAATACCGTGCCAGATATAGTTCATCGGTCCTACGATACAATTGACCACATCCTCGGTTATGTCAGATCCTTATCTAGATTTCACTACAGCACATACATTAATATAATAGTAGCTTTCGGCCGCGAAAGCATACGCGTGAAATTAAAAAAATGCCTATGTGTTCTTCCAGACTATCCTCTACATCTATGACAAATTTCATCGAGATTCGTTCAGCAGTTTAGATTTCAAACTCTAACAAACATCCATCCATCTAAACTTAAGCATTTATAATATTAGTAAGATAAAATCGATTCGGAAGTGATAAGAAAAATACTTCTACATCGTTTTAGAAATACTTAAACATATTCAAAATCGATAACGAAGAAATCGATTATATTGGTTTCTTTTCACTGTCTTATTCTAAAACCAAAGAAATTAATATAAAAATTTACGCTACTGACCAGGACAAATTTCGAAATCAATGCAAAAACCTGCGGCATTGAGAACCCGTTGCATTCCTACGGATACAAATTTTTGGCGAACAGACTGCCTTTAAATGGTCAGCAAAAATATGCACACAATACAAAAAAATAATAATATTTAAACAATTCAAGTGACAATACTGTTTACCCTAAAAATAGCTCAATGAACTATCGTACCAAACAATTGATCACATCCTCAAATAACAGTGATATAGTCGAGACATACTGTTGTCTCTTTCTTTCTCTTTGAGAAGAACAGAGGCGGTAATATGTTTTTATAGTTGTTTAGTATGGACATTCCAATGAGTCGTCAAAACTCACCATTTTTCACACGAGACCGGATCACTGCCAACAGACCCATTCGGTAGACCACATGCTCCAAGAGATTGGCTCTGGAAACGAGTAAAAAATAACATTTATATAGTCACATTACACACGTTAAAAACATTTTTGTATTAATATTGGTTCTTTTCTTAATTTGAGAAGCAAAAGGTTAGCGTGGTATGGACATGTTATGCGACGAGACGATGGGGACATAAACCAGAAAGTGTTATGAATGAATGTGGATGGTTACAAAGGAAGAGGAAGACCGAAGAAAGTATGGATGGATTGTGTGAAAGAGGATATGCTTAAGAAAGGAGTGGATTCAGATATGACGGCTGATAGACATGTATGGAAGAGCAGCACATACTCTGCCAGAGATAAGGGCAAGTGTACGATGATTTAATTTTTAACTACTAGTAGAAAATACATTAAGAGAAATCTGCACTAAATGAACACGTAAGAAACCACAGTACTACTCTAAGAGTGACCCCAAAAACAAAGGAAATTAGAGGACAATCAATTGCTAAAAAAAGTCAACTATAAAAACATTGTCATAACATCACTTCCTAACAATCCTTTCTAAGAATATGAAATCATACCAACATTGAAAAAATTGACGCATCTGTAAACAATGGAAACCTGACACGTTGTCACATATGTATAACCTTTAGCAGAATCATAGCGATAGCCTAAACAAATTAAAGTCCAAGGATTGTTTACATTCCAGTACTTCATACCATATTTCTATTGTATGAGCAATAATTATAGGAAACTAGCTTTAAGAACGCAACTCCGTCTGTGTGTACATATAAAAGTAGTCTGTATGTTCTTCCAGACTACATATACACTACATCTATGACAAAGTTTTATTAAGATGCATATAGACATCCCGGTCATTTTTTCCAAAAAAAAAAAGAGATATAGTAATTGTATCATCATCATCACCAGCTCACTATACGTCCCCACTAAGGGGCTCGGAGGCTACCCTTAGTAAAGGGTGACTAGGCCATAATAATAATTGTGTATTAAGGGTAAAATCTACAATCTGATTTTACAAGAATACCAACAAACGACAAGGAGAACGTTAGTTATGAGTGTGGAAAAGTACACCGGTGTTGGTAGACCTAGAAAGAGATGGATGGTGCATGAAAGGTGTCATCAAAAAGGGAGTGACTGAGATGACGTATGATAGAGTTATGTGGAAGACAAAAACCTGTTGCTGCAATAAGCAGGAAAATGATGAAGAATTCCAAAAAACTAAATATTACGTTAGTAAAAAAGTTATTTTTAATCTAATGAAGGTACAGAAAACAAATGAATACACAGTAAAATACATTAAACCAATAATATTATATGTTCAAGTGATTATAAAATAAATGAAGTAAAGGCTCATCCACATTAAGACGCTCAAAGCATAATAATAAAACTACTGGTATAATTTCAAAAATTCTTTCACCGTTAGAATCTTTACTATTATTCTATATAAGTTATTTTTTTAATTTCACACAGAGGAAGTCGCGAGCAACAGCTGGTAATAGATAAATAAAAGTTTGTGGTCATATGCTTCAATTACTTTCATTTTTAACATTGTATAAAGTTATACTTAGGAATAAACTGAGTATAAGAAAAATTTGTACTAACATTTGTTTATACTCAGTTTATTTCTAAGTTTAACTTTGTACCGCGTTTCTTTGTAAGTTTATTAGTGTTTAAAATTGTGGTGATTTTAGTGTCAAAGTTTTTAGTGTGAATAAACCTTAACACTTTGATATCACAGATAAAACAAATGGCCGCATTCTATCTGTTATACTTACAAATCTATAACTTTAGTTTGCCTATTGTTATCTTTATACAAACATTATTATCTAATTCAATGGAAATATTAATTTAAAACTAGTTTTTCTTATAAGACAAATAAGTAAAAGAATGAATTATTTTGTCAAAGCCCTTATTAAGAGATGGAAATATTTTCAGCATTTCTATTAGAGCCATGATTATTACATTTAGTTAAATATTTGGTTAAATATGAGATACTAGCTGTTGCTTACGACTTTACCGCATAAAATAAAAAAGATAATATGAACATAGCCTATGTTATTTACTGATAAACTAGCTTTTTGATGGTGAAAGAATTGTAATCACCCCATTAGTTTTTGAGTTATTTCAATACATACAAAAATACAAATCTTTTTTTTTTATAATAATAGTATAGATTTTGACTTGAAATAAATTAAATCTTTTAGATTTAAATTTTTACTAGCATATAAAAATATATTAATGTGGCCTGCAATATACTTTTAAACGGATAATCAAAATTAATTTTATAAAAAAAACTAAATGGGAATCGCAAAATTTGAATACTTAATAGTTCTCTATTTTAAAATCCATTACTAACAAACTTTATGAGTTCATAGTATAAAAACTTTGAAGAAAGAATTGCCAATAAATATTTACATGTAGCCCATTTGTAAGTGCTAAGTGCATGGCACTGAGCCAAAAATACTTTAAAAGCACTTTAATGGTAATGCCATATGTATTTTTAAACAGAGTCAATATCCTAACTTCTAAAGGTCAAAATTTAAAAATACTACATAACTTGCCCCACATGGGTCCGCAAAGTATGTGCTGCTCTTCCATACATCTATCAGCAGTCATGAATTCACTCCCTTTTTAAGCATATCTTTCACATATCCATACTTTTCTTCCTTCTGTGGCCATGTTTCTGGCATGTGTAAACTCGACTGTGCATGTCAGAATTATGGGGAAAAAACAATATCAGTAAGTTACAGATTAGCAAGTAAGATAAATGCATGTGAATAAAAGATCTTTTCCTCTCACTCTTTTTTCTACTCTTGCAGCCATCAATTGGGGGAGGAAAGTCCTGGAATGGAGGTAGCAAAAGAGGACCAGAAGCATAGGGCTTCCTCCATCTGGGTGGACCAATGCAGTGCACTGCTGCACATGGCGGGAAGTTGTAGGATGTGGAAGGTGGAGGACCACATTCTGTGGAAGGCATTAGGGAAAACCTATATCTAGCAGTGGGCAGAGCTGTTGATGATCATGATGTAGCGATCCATATTCAATCTTTTTATAATTGTCCTTTTTATATTGCAATGTAAGCCTTTACAAGCCATGTTGTCACAATTTAGTTGACACTTTGGTGCTTAATAAAACTGCAACTGAATTGTGGCCTTTTTTATATCATAAAGGGCAAGCAAGGGGCAACTAAAATTTGCACATAGCGGGATCTCTATTGACCTCTATAGGCAAATTTTGTTGGTGCTTTTGGTAGCCTTAAAGGCCCCTACAGTTGTCCTTTAATAAATGGTGAGGGTGACACCAAGAGGATATCCCCTACATAAGTGTCTCATATACTGCCAAATCTAAGTTGAGTATAGTTTATTCTGATCTGTTTAATTAATTTTTAATAGTGTTTACTTTTTTCGCAATCAAGTTGGAAATCAATCTTTTATAAAATGTATTTACTTGTAAAAGTGTGACAGTTAAAAAATGGTTTAAAGTTAAAACTGCATTGCAGACTTGCTTGAAGGCTGTAACTAAGTTACATAAAAGGTGATTGTACATTTCAATTGATTTCAATGCCACTCTAACATATTAGAACAGTCAGGTAAACAAGGTCTCTTCAATTAAAAGATTAATTAGTCATTGAAATTAATTATAAAAGTATGTATAAATACATATTAATTTTTATTTTAATGGTCAATGACTTGGTATAATATTACACGGACGTTGTGATGGGCAACTTCCCGTTGCAAACAATCTTATAGGTGAGTCATTTATGCAATTCCAAATAGGTCCTATATACTTGTACTTGGTGATTTGTCGACGTGACATTTTTGCATACTAATAAGCGCGACATAAGGAATTTTAATTTGATGATGATTTTAAAACTGTAATGTATTTTAAATTAAGTAGAAAACATAATACAATAATTCAAAAATCATTACTCACTTAGTTCTGAATCCGGCTGTGCCGTATTGAATGAAAACTTCAGTAGTTTTTGGATGCATTTCTCTGGCGAACGCGTACACGACTCGAAGGCTACTCGGCGGCATCGTGTTGGGTGAAATTAATATATAAGGCCGCGTATCACTCAGTTACAATCACTTGGAATCAACAAACGAGAATTTCACATTCCCGCGTTGACAGTGGTTAGCTTCGACTGACTGAAGTGAAATGCCAAATGTCACTGCAAAAATAACCGACCGTTTTAAGATGTCTCCCATAGTCTACTGGAATGATTGACATTACTAAAATATGCGTACTAAAAAGTTTAAAAATAGCCTTGAGTGCAAGTCTCACTGTACATTTCTTTTTCGTAGGATTATCACAAAATATTCTATCCTTGTCAAAGAATTTTGTTTCCCAAAATCTTAGTAGTAGCGAAAATAGACGCTAGATGTCGCTACACAAAAGATTTATTTTGATGTTGCTACTAGTCAAAAGATGGCGGTATAAGTTTAAATCAGTGATTCTCAAAAGGGGATCCTCAAAAATAACAAATGCCTAACCCCGTAGTCGAATTTATCGTTTTACTCTTGACAATCGAGAATTCTATGTTTTGTTTTAAGAAAATTTGTTAATTGCTTGGTCGCAGCACCCTAGTCTTTATGAGCATGTCCTCACTATAACGATTTTTTCTTATTTTACGTTTCATTGAATTTAAGAGTTAAAGATATGTTTCAGTGTCACAGCATTAAGGCATTCATCATAAACATCAATGAACTCATAAAACATCACGCTTTTGACGTTTTCAACACAAATGTTTTAAAAAGAAAACACAAATCAAATTTTTAGAAGCAGCTCATTATTTGAGAAACGCGCGATTAGCAACCGGTCTCTGTGACAAACGATCGCAGTCGTTCCGAAAGCAACGCGCCGTGACGACAGAGAAAGAAACCGACGTCTAATAATACATCTTGTTTGTTGTTTTAATTTAGATAAATAAGGACACATGTCTTCGTGTCGTAGCTAATTGATTTAAGAGCGGTCGAGAGATGACTGTCGGTGGTAGAATGCCTCGCACGCAACTAAACGAATGTAATTACGAGAACTAGAATACTATGTAGTGTAGCAACATTTATATGTATTTAAATTATAGATAATTAGTTGTTGCTCGCAACTACGTTCGCGTGAAGTTAAAAGTATAACCTATGTTATTCAGCGAAAATGTAGCTTTTTAACGGTGAAATAATTTTTGAAATAGGCCCAAATCCAAAAATACAAATCATCTAATCTGCAGATGAAATCATCCACATATAAGACTCCGTTTTCATGACTTTTATATTTTGTTGTTATTAAATTTATAACCTTATATAATAATTTATGGTATACCAATAGTCAGTAAAAGAACATAATCGTGATATGGTTAGAAGAATTATTAACTAATTTTAATCTATTCACCGCTAGAGGTCGCTACTTGTAAAAATTATCCAGAATTTTAACGGAAACCGAGCATCAACAATAAAATTAAACCATCAAAAGATTTATTTGATATGCCTACAATTAAATATGTTTCTAAATTCTCCGTCACGGTCGAGTTTACAGCGCCCAACACTAATTAGTCAGATTCCAAATGTCGCATACATTTGAAGCGACTAACGAACAAACTCGACGTTTGAGATCTCATATCACAAGATTAATTACATACATTAATTAACGTTTGCATCTCAAACGGTATAATTATTGTTGTATTAATTAATATCTTTGCGTTGTAGGTCAATTGGTGTTCGAAAATTCGTGCATTGTTTATTAAAGTGGGTGGTAAAAAGTTCCGCCTTCGCAAAACGAGACAAGATTTAATTTTTCAACGACGCAAATTGTAAAATAAATATTATAACATATTACATTTATCTGTAAAATAAAGCAAAGTATTCAATCTATACTATTATAATAAAACGTAAACACACACTTTTTTGTTGCCTAAGATGTCAGTAATCACAGCATATTTTTGAATAATCCTTTTTTTCATAAAAAGTCCTACACTTACGTCACGCTTTAGGCTATATATTTTCACGCCAGTAAACTTAGGGGGTAAATATTTTGGATAAAAACCCTAATGTCGGAAAGAGACCATACGATACGAGCTGCCAACATCAAGAAGCAAGATTGCCATAGTAAGGCATTTTAACGTTTTCAATTGAAAATCTGATAAATGTAAACAATAAAATAAAGTTTTTATAATTTCATACGGATGAAACCGCACAGGAACAGCTAGTGTAAGGAATAAACTTAAAAACTACTCGGCACATTTTAAAGGTTCATTTGCCATTAGCATCTGACCTATATTTTTTTCTAATTGTTTATACTAATGTTATAAAGAGGAAAGATTTGTATTTTTGTATGTATTGAAATAACTCAAAAACTACTAGGTCGATTTTATTCTTTCACCATTAAAAAGCTACGTTATCAGTGAGTAACATAGGCTTTTTTGTTTAATTTCATGCAGACGAAGTCGCGAGCGACAGCTAGTAAGTTATATTATCAGACTTTTTTATATTGTGCCAAGAAAGTCGTAGACGAAGACTTGTTAAATATAAAAGTAAAGACGTTTGAGTTGACTTAAGAATTCTTCAGCATCGATCAAAAAAGGTTATCTATTATTTAGCATAAGTACTCAATTGACTATTTTATAAGCAGGGGTGGTAAACTAGCCGTTCGCAGTCGCAGAACTAATATCTACGTTTACCTTGAAGGAGAAAATTCTTACTTTTTAACTAGGTTACCTTTGGTTAAAATATAAACAATAAATTAGAGAAAAATATTATTTACATAGATAAATATACAACCAATGAGTGGCAAAATAATACATCATTTTTCATTTTAAAAACAATTTTCTGGGCCTGATATTCCATAGTAAAATTAGTAGGAAAAAAGTTGATAGCCCCTGAATTAGGTACACTCAGTTCGCAATACGTTTGTGCTTATAAAATATGTATGACAATTGTGGCGGGAATTCTGTATGCCGCCATGATGCGTGTGGTCTGCCCACACAAATGCGCGGGAATTTTGTAGCCGCCATTACGAAATCCAAATCACCACTATGAATTATTTTTTTCATCGTGTGAAGTGGCCAGTTATTATGTAATTGTTAATACAGGTTTTTTTGAGTTTAACGATGACTTTATTTGTAAAGTAGCTGTTGACTTCGTCCACGTAAAATTTAAAGCTTTCTAATGGTGAAAGATTTTTTTAAATCAGTGAAGTAGTTTTTGAGTTATTTCAATACATACAAAAATCTTTTCTCTTTATAATATAAGTATGGATGAATTTAATTGAATTTTAACAAAAAAGTAGAATTTAATTTACTCTATGACGATAAAATTAAATAGCTTACCATAGATATTAGAGTATTTTAAGTTTGATATCTAATCTTGAGTTGATTTTCCAAAAATTTTGCAATGTAAATGATAACTGAAGATATCCACCCTATCTATATCAACATTTAGTTCGCATTATATTATATTTATGTTCTGTTAGGGCATGTTTTGATCACATACATATAACAGGCGTGAAGTAGAAGCAATTCCGCATTTCGTCTGATGAGTTTGGTGCCGGAGGCCTAATTTTAGTCCCTTTCCCTTTGCACCCTTTTCTTGAGAAGGATGAGAAGGAAAAGTGGATTTGGTGGAGGAGATGCATAAGAAGGGGAAATATCCTCTCTACGTGCATCTCCTCCTCCGTTAATTACATGTAGGCAAAGCATCTGCAATTGCGGATGTTTATGCAGCGGTCGCTTTCCATTTCGGTGGATTCAGGTGGCCGCTTGCTCGGTTGCCACCTCATATAACGATAAAATAAAAATATAGAATGCGTCTTACAACGCCTTTCGTCATTGTCTAGTACACTTGTCTACAGCTGCCAAAAGGTTAAAAATCACAAACATATGGGAAAGTGTTGTACCAAAGCTTGAAAGATCAATGATCGCTTGAAATCGAACCCTCATCAGCGTAATGAAAGTCCGCGACACGTTCGTGAAGGTAATGTTACTATCATATCACGATTTCGAAAGCTATACCTTCACGGTGGTCCTCTATGGTCTATGGTACAATCAAAGAAACTGGTGGTGTTCCCATATATCACAGTTTTTATTCCGCGTCTCGTTTCAAACAAGACGCGGAATAAAAACCAATGCCACGTAGATTATAAGTGTATCTAGAAAAAAATCTATTAGTATACAAGACTAGTTTCTTTTTATTAATATCCCTTCGTTTGCACTCACTGCTAGATAGTTACTTATTTGTAGCAATAGGCGGAGTTCGTCTGGTTGCAATGAACAAAGAAATTTCTCCTGAGTTGGGACACCGCGGACTTTCGTGTGTGTACATCTGAAGTAAATACAATTGTAGTAGAAGCATACTTGTACATTTAGAACCCATCCAAAGCCGATATATATTAAGGTGGGGTACCGATTGACTTTTACTTTCTAGCACAAAAATTCATAAGATAGTATTTGTAACGTCAACAAATTTTTATTTGATTTTTGCACTGGACATCTATTGGGTGTAAAGTACACCAACAAATCTTATACTTTAGAAAATAACATTACGAATAGTTAATTCGTGTTAGCTTAACAACTGCTGGGAAATATTATTTACGATTGACTATACCAAAGATATTAAAACAGTTTCATAGAGTGGACATTAAAAACATTTTTTTAGAAACTACATACATGTCAATGATGGAAATCAATAACAAATGACAATTGACCAACGTGTCAAATCAGACTGGTTACCTAATGATAAGGAGTCCTATCCACTTTAATTTGATCGTGTTGTCCTGTCTATTACATATTAATGTCTTTGTAGCGAACTAACGTAACGAATATTTTAATCTTTACTAACATTAAAAGGAAAGATTTGTATTTTTGTATGTATTGAAATAACTCAAAAATTACTGAGCCGATTTAAAAAAAAATCTTTCACTATTAAAAAGCTATGTTATCAATGAGTGACATATACTACAATTTTTTATAATTTCTTTTAATTCGTCGCGGACAAAATCGCGAGCAACAACTAGTAGGTATATAAACTATTATGAAAAACTGAAATGCCTTTAATACAGGTATTTCAAAAAGTTGATCAGTTTTTTCATACACTAGGACCACTAACTACTATTAACTACTGCACATCTCGGTGTTCCCGCTGCTCGTTTGCCCCCTCTCTTACAAAAAATACTAGCCCGTCTCCCCCTT